GAGAGAGAGAGAGAGAGAGAGAGAGAGAGAGAGAGAGAGAGAGAGAATCTGTAGAGGAGAGGCTCACAGGAGAACCAGGGAGGGCAGAGAAGAGGCAGGGAAGCAGGACGGTGGAATGAGCCAATCAAGGGTGTCATCTCAGGAAAGTCCCATAGAGGGCAGCTGAAGCCTGCTCCTTTCCCGGATCTCAGGTGGCTAAGGCTGCAGGGAGGTCCTGACCTACAGTAGGAAGGAAACTGGGCTTCTTTACTGCCTCCAAGATCTCTGATTAGTTGAGAGCTGCGGTACAGAGGGAGGTAAACCCTTTGCACTCACGCTGCGCCTGATTAGAGCCTCTCCGTCAGTTCAGCGGCAGCCTCTGGAGAACACGAAATGTCTTTGATAGAAACAAAAGCTCACATGGTTGTAGCTGGGGGCAGTGGAAAGGGTGCGGAAAATGTTGTCCTAGAAATTGATGTTAAAAAAGTCAAAGGGGTGGGGCTGGGGAGGTGGCTCAGTGGAATAAGCGCTTCTCTGGCAAGTGCAAGGGCCTGAGTTCAATCTCTGGTTCCGCAAAAAAAAAAAAAAAAAAAAAAAAAAAAAAAGTCAAAGGGGGGCTGGATAGATAGCTCAGCGGATTACAGTCCATGCTTAGGCAGATGCAGGGACTGGGTTTCAGTCCCTGGTGTGCAGTGCTGGCCCTGCCCCTGGTGCGCGCCCAGACAGCTTCGGAGACTGGGCATGATGGTGCGCGCCTATAACCCCAGCCCTTGGAGGCTGAAAACAGGAGATTCGCTACGAGTCCGATCTGTATAGTGAGACCCTGTAGACCCTGTACTAAATATATGTATTTTTAAAAGTCAAAAGGAATCTCAACAGAACTTGCCCATTGCCTATATTACATTGGGGGGTGGGGGAGGGATTGAACTCAGGCCCTTGTGCTTGCCAGCCAAACGCTTATTCTACTAGGCCATCTCCACATTTCTTCAAATGTTTATTTAAGAATACTGACACCTAAGTTTGCTTAGCATGGAATTTAAATCACAAATACAGCAGTGTTTTCTCAGGAAAAATAAAGTATGTCCATAGTTCTCCTTACATAGAGCATGATCAAAATTACATTTTAAAATTTTAGAAAGTATTACAATAGAAGGTACTTGCCATTAATCCTCCTGAAGATGCCCCCCACCCCATGTTGAACACGCTCTTCTCATTGTTCTTGCCACATTGTGACGCAGTTCTGAAAGTCCTGTTCTGTGATTGTCTTTAGTTGTGGTGTTGCGGCTGCCTGGGTGCATCAATTAATTCCAAATGTTTACCTTTCATGCTCAGTTTGACTTTGGGGAAAGGCCAAAAGTCACATGAGGCCAGATCTAGTGAGTAAGGTAGATGAGGACACAACATCACATTTTTATTTCATAGAAACTATGATCATAAAATATAACAAATGTTTAAATTTTAAAATATATTATAATAAAAAATACAGTGCCATTAATCCCCTGAAAATACTCCTCCTTGATTTAAACACATTTATCCCATTGTTCTTGACAATGTGCATTTTTACTGTAATAAGTTGTTTTTAAAATTTAAACATGTGGGCTGGGGAGACAGCTCAGTGGTCTAAGTGCCTACCTGGCAAGCAGAAGGACCCTAGTTCAATCCCCAGTACTACTGCTGTGCTGGCCCCCTAAACTGGGCATGGTGGTGCACACCTGGAATCCCAGCGCTGAGGAAGCTGAGATGGGAGGATCACTATGAGTCTGAGCTGTTTAGTAAGAGCTTGTACCAAATAAATAATAATTATTTTAAATAATGTTTAAAATGTAAACATTCACTGTCTTTTGTTCATCCCTTATATATATATTCATTTATGTCTATTTTGATATACTCTGATTTGGACGCTGTTTTTGACTATTGAAAATGTCAAAACATCTGCTCATGTTTGTTTTATAGGCGACATGTGAAGGAGGACATTCCTCAAGGAGTGCTGTAAGTGAATATAATGACATTAAGGGAAGTGTTTTGCAGATGATGAGGACTCAAGATAGTCATAGCAGAAGAGAAAACAACTCATTGGCGTGTCTAATTCCATGTGCTCTAACAAGAAAGGATGCCATCTGTCACGGTGGTCCATGCCAGGACTTCAGGAGAACAAACTCATTTTTCTCTTAGTCTCAAATCTATAGGAAAAACCTTTCTAAATAAAGATATCAATGAACAGACCTAAGCAACTGGAGATGACTTTATTTCTTTTGAGAACTGGGAAGACTGAACTTTAAAAGTTAACTGAACCTTTCTGATGTCTCTGTTTATAAATTTTGAGCAATTTTGATAATGCAGCTGCCTAAAGAAGATTTTGTCATAGTTTCCATCATGTACCTATCTTGGATTGGATTCTTGAATAAGAAGAATTCACAATTACATTTTCTCTGGACTTTTTTCTTTTTAACCTTTTTCTAGCATTGGAAATCCATGCCCATGTCTCTAGTTGTGGTAGGATCCCAACATCGCCCACAGTGCTGATTATCTACAAAATGTAATAGGCTGCTGTTCTTATGGTCTGTTCCTTCACTCCACCAAGACATCTGAAAAAGAATGAGATCAGCTCATGACAAAGAAAAAATGAGAAGACACTTTTATGATCTGTTGTCTTCAAATCATTTGTTCTATGTTTTATTATACTTTGCTTTGTGTCTATTTTGATTTGGCTCTTTAAAAAACATAGATAATTGGAGGTGGAAGCTAGAGGTTCCTCAAAAGGGAAGGAGGTCAAGAGATGGAGGGTAGGGGGAGGGAGGCGAGGGCAGGGCATGAAGAGAAGAGCTCAGATGTAAGCATATGTACCAGTTCCACACAGGGAATGCCTTCTGTGTACTACACACATTTACTGAAAAAATTGTAGAAATGCATAAACGTTCTGCATGGTGAGACATGTTCTTGTCACAATATAGCAAGGGACAAATTCTAAAATAAAGACAGGGCTCAACAGTCTAAGCACCTGCTTGGCAAATGCAAGGGCTTGGATTTGATCCCTCGTACTGCATGCTGTGCTGGCCCCTGAACCTGGGGCATGCTGTGCAGGCCACCAAAACCAGGCACGGCAGCAGATGCCTGTAATCCCAGTGCTGGGGAGACTGCGACAGGAGGATCCCTACAAGTCTGAACTGTGTAGCGAGACTCTGTACCAAATGAATAAATAAAAGACTTTTTTTTAAAAAATTTAAAAATAAAGACAAATCTAACCCAGAAACTTGTTCGATGTTTGTGTACTTTTAGTCTACCTCAGATGCATTAGAATACAATATAAGAATAAAAATATTTGGAAAACACACATAAAATAAAGCAATAACAAATTAGTTGTAAAAATCATTCAGTTTGATTAAGGCAACAAGCAATTGCCAATGAATATCAATGTGTATTATACAAAAAGCAAAATTACTCTTAATACTGTAAGACTAGATATTATTATCAGTATTTTCCCACATAATTTTCCTTAACATGGCTATTGTTTATATAATTTAAAAATAATCAATTAATTCTAAATTGTTGGAATTTTTTAAAAAGTAGCCTTGGGCTGGGGATCCAGCTCAGTGGCACAATTCCTACCTGGAAAGCATAAGGTCCTGAGATTGATTCCTGGTATCAAAAAATAATTATTATTATTATTATTTATTGCCTTCTGAGTTCTAAAGTAAACTGGTTTTATAGAATTATGTTTTTCCTTAAAATCCCTGCAGAGGGTGTGTGTGTGTGTGTGTGTGTGTGTGTGTGCGCGCGCGCGCGTGCATACGTGAACGTGTGTACCTGTGGGCACATATAAATGTGTGTAAATGTATGTATGAAGAACACATCAGATCCCCAAATCTAAGAGTAGTGTGGTGATAAGAAAAGTGAAGCCATGGCAACTCATGCTCGCGGAGGCATAAATCATCCCAACTTGGAGCAGCATCTTACCAGCATCCAGTACAGCCAGTGATCCCAGCACTAGGTCTGTAGACTTGTGTGTGAGAAGAGCTCACCCATGTATATGAGGGGCCAAATGCAGGTGTGTGCATGGCAGCACTGTGTGTTTTAGTGGAGATAAAACCAATCTAAATATCTGAATGTGGTGTGTCCCTACAATGGAATGTGGCACAACAGTCAGATTGGTAAACTGGAGCTGCGCTGACAGACATGGACAAGTTTCCGTGATAATAAGGAGCCAGAAAAGCTGCAAAGGAATACTTTATGGCATCATTTATGCAAGTTTATGGAAATTTTATACAACATTTTAAAACTCCAAAAAGTAATGCCGTGTATTGTTTATGACTACTGAAAACTGTAAGAGGCGTATGTGGAGAGGAAAACGCCAAACTCAAAAAGACAGCGGTGATCTTTCAGTGGGAAGAGGGAAAGTGAGAGAATCTTATTTCTTAAGCTGGGATAGGAAAATGCACATTCTTTACTCTGTTTTTGGATGCCCGATGCTTCATAATTTAAAAGAAAATATGCAAAATTCAAGTGAATCTTTATGTGATAGCTAAAACCATGTTAGAAAATCAGAAGAAATTTAAGCAATAGGGAACTCTTCTATCCCTTGAGGAGTTTGTAGCAAGTCAAGGTCATTAGAGTTAGTAACATGCTAGAATAATGGTTTTCCTGAACACTGAGCACAGGCAAACTTGTCCCCTTCTCTGATGTGCCACATTATGTTGATCATTGTATAAAATCAGTTTATCGTCCTCTAAGCACGCAATCCTTTTGATGTGATTTTATAGCTGAATGGCCCTTTGGGGTTGTATTAAGGGCACAGCAGAATTTGTTGTTGGTACGAGGTAAAGGGGTACTATTAAATGACATTGTTTCACTGGAGAAGCAATTGCACTCTAACTATAAAAAATGTGAATATATTATGCATTTTGGATGTTCAATTAAAATATAATAATTGAATATATACTATGAATACACTATAAAACATCAAGAACCAAGAGCAGACAATGATCACGGGGTGATAAAAATAGTACACAAATTTGGAGAGTAAAACTGCTAAGTGGAGCTAGTAATTGCCTTGGAAATCAAAGAAAAAAAATCACTTAGGATTTAAATCAGTGGAGAAGACTCAAAGGATCACACTAAATCCCTATTTACAGTAACAATAATGCCTTCCTTTTGGTTCCTTTATGGTAACAGCACTTTAGAGTCTGCACAGGTCACATTCTGATCTGACCTTTTGACCCTCTTCGCCTCCCCAGCCTAATCTCTTCCCACTGCAAGGAACCTTTTCCCTTGCCTACCTCCTGTCCATTCTTCTGGGTGGGCGTCTCAAGGCACGTTCTCAGTATGCTCACAAACCTTACAAAGGTGGCACCTGCCCTTCTGCATACCTGGACCTCTCCCCCTGGGCTACCACCAGGGAGGTTTTAACGGCTCATTAACCTGAAGATGTCACTGATGTGAACCTTGCATCTTTCATTCTCAGAGTGGTGCCTGGTCCTTACAAGAAGTCCAATAAAGATATTTGATGCCTGAATGAATGAACCTTCCCTGAAAGTTAAACGAGGCCTGTTCTGGTGGATTGGAGGAAACTTGGCATGAGTGGCCAGAGAACAAAAGCTCTGCAGATCCTTGTGTCTGTGCTTCGAGTGACTGGGAAAATGTTTTGTGTGTGATCAGCGTTTGTACAGCAGCCAGCGAGACCAGACTGGGACTCTGAGGCCACTGCAAGTAGGGTAAGTTGCTGAAAAATAAGTTTGTTGTTTTTGCTTTAAAAATCAGTAAACTACAAAAAAATTCTCAGCTCAACATCCACCCTGGGAGAAAAATTGCATGCTCTCCAAAAGGAGGAATGGCATAGTCCATTTCTTCAAGGATTCTCTGCAGAAATGAACCATTGCAGAGCCAGGAACCCCACATGACACGAGGCAGTGCTCTAAGACAGCTGGTCAGAATTACACATGACTAAGAATCCTGTGAGAGCTCTGGGAAACTTCATTTGACTTCTTAAACATGATACTTAAATCTTCCTTCTACATGTGGTGGGCAGTGGGGTGAGAAGCAGAATAGTCCTAGTTGGAGGTTTGCGTGGTCCCTATGGCCCTCCCAAGAAACTTCCTTCTGCCTCCTTGAAACTTTTCTCCATTTATCTAACGTAACTTGCCTCTTCCTCCAAAAGACCTCTCTATTCCTAGAGGATCAAGGACCCAACCCTAGGACTCTGGTGTAATTTGTCTGCATTTCTCTTCTATTCCTCCTTTGTTCACCTTAATAATCCCAGCAGCTCTTGCCTTAAATAAGAAGAGAAACTTAAATGGGAGCTCCATGCAATTTTAATTTAAGAATTTAAGAATACTTTCATGTCAATGTTTTCATGACATAAGTTGGTCAGCATGTGTCCTGTGCTTCATAACTTTGGATGACAAAGTCCTCAGTACCCAAAGTGGAGCTCACACCCAAGAACTACAGCTTCAGCATTGCAGGGTAGTTTGTTAGAAGTGCAAAATCTCTGGGCTCCATCTCTGGTCTACTTGATCAGCATCTGTATTTTAGCACAGTCTCCAAGTGACTGATGTGCATGTCTGAGAGGCACTGGGCTAGAATCCATTTGCTTGAAGCTCTGTGGATGAGTAGACGCATCTGGAAGACTCAGTTCAATGTGGCATGGTACACCAAATGGCCACCATAAAGCATGCCTTTGCCAGAGGCAGGGAATTTAAAGATAAATCCAAAGTGGCATTTGCCTTAAACACACAATCTAGCTAGGAAGAGTGACCCAGAAAGAGATCGTTTTAACTTGCTGGAATGGTACTAAGATGAAAGCAGGGAGCACCATAGAAATACAGAGGATTCTTCAGCCTGGCTGGCAGAGCTGGAGAAAAACTGCTCAAGGACAGGCTCTTTAATCTGAATGAAAATGACTGGACACAACCCAACAGGACAGAAATCAGGTGGGTGAGCAGGGTGTCCCCTAGCTTTTTCTCCATACAGCAGGTTTTGTTTACTCTACAAGCCTCGCTGTGTTCATGAGGAAGAGGAGTAGCTACATGTACTCTGCATGTTAGTACTGAGCAAGGGACAACAGGAAATGAGAGCAGAGAGGTAAATTTAGGACAACGAGGGCCTTGTGTGTGTGACGAGTTCAGTTCTATTCTGGAGTAACCAAGGTACCTGAGGACAGGAAAGGGATATGTTAGGCCTTTTCATGGGTCACATTGGCCCTGGAGAGAAGATTATAGGGGAGAAGAACTAGGCACATGATAAGCAGTTGTCCAGGCAAGAATATACAATGGTGCTCAGGGTCAAGATGACTGGCATAGAGGGCAAAGTTAATAGGACATGATCATCACTTGGTTTGAATAGATGACAAGAAGAGCAGTCTTGATAGCTGACCAGTGATTCTCAAACTTGAACTTGCCTAGAATCCCCTGAAGGACTTGTTAATCTCCAATTGTAGCCCACCCCCCATTCTGATTCAGTAGACCTGGGTGAGACCTAAGGATTTGCCTTTATAACAAGTCTGTCTTAGGGTGTTGATGCTGCTGGTCTCTGGACTGCAGCCCACATTGAGAGCCACTTTGTTTTTTGGTTGTACCAGCCATCAAACTCAGGATCT